TTTTCACCATTGTTCTTGATCTGGATTGTATTTTTCAATATTTTTTTTTTTTGTCAGGTTTCAATTAAATAGGGTTTTGATTTGGGGTTGTTTGATTTGTATACAAGTGAGTGCGAAGGGGGTTTTTTATTTGGTTTCAATCAAATAGTTTTTTGAGTTAGTTTCAATCAAATTGTTTTTTTAGTTGGTTTCAAGCATCGAAAAAATTCAAAATTTGAGGGACAAAAACCAACCGACTAGTCGACGAGCCCACTCGGCGATGCGTTGGGAGCAGGGTTTGGATGGGGGAGAAAGGTTAGTGCGAGTTGCAGATGAGAGGAAGAAGGTGGGTGTGAGTTGCAGAGGAGAAAAGGGTGGGTGGGGTTGCAGATGAGAGAAGGGAGAAAGGGGGTGGGGGTGAAGAGAAGAAAGGGCTCGGGGAAGGTGGGGGTGGGGTGGGGTGGGATGAGGTGGGTTTTTGGATGGGAGGGGAGGTGAAGAGAGTGGAGGAGAGGGAGGTGGTGGGGAGGGGTTACGGGGAGGTGGGGGTGGGGGTGGGTTCTAAGTTTTCTGTTTTTTTTTTTTTTTTTTGAGAAGATTCAGGTTTTTTTTTTTAAATTAAAAAATTATTTTTTTGCAACATCATCTCTTAACGGACTAATGGATGAAAAATGTAACAGATGTATGAAATTGAAATAAAATAGTACTTGAGATATGAAAGTGCAATGTTTTAGTGATGTTGTAAGGAATTGAAATCGACCCAAAATCTGAAGGGGTAAAATGTAATTTACCCTTAAAGTTATTATCTAGCACATAAATTAACTTATTCAAAACATTGGCAGTTTAGTAATTATACTAGTTTTAATTGCAATTCAGAGATATTTGGTAAACAACTATTTAGAATCAGCATTATTCCTACTCTGATTCCAGACAGTTTAGTAAACAACTTTCATAAGAATCTTATTTTAATTTTTCGTCAATTCAACTTCTCCTCAATTCAATTCATCTCAATCTAATTACGGATTAGTAAAAGTTGATTATGAAATGCAGGCACTAATGAGGAGAGATAAGCCAAGCACAAGACTTGTAACCGTTAAGGCCTTCGCATCGCAAGTACCATTATAATATATTTTAAAATTATTTCTTATTTGCTACCTACCTGTATTATTTGTTATTTGCAACCTTTCCGTAAAAGGCAGGATGTGCCCTATTAGGCTTAGAGTTAGACTCAAGTCTCAACCTTTTCATACAATTAATCATTTTATTGTCTTGCTTAATTACAAACCTACATTATTAGGCTCAACTGTCAGAAGACCAAATGTAAGCCTATATATGTTATTTTTTATATACTTTTTTTTTTATTCAATGAGGATGATGAAGGATTAGGCGAGTTAAACTACTCGTAAGGATTGGTTATTGAACTACAAAAGTAGCCTTAGGCCTCGTTTGACAGCTCGAACTGTATTGACTATTTATGTCAGATAGGATAAATAGCCACTGGACAATACTGACTAAATTAGTCTGACGTTTGATGCAGTATCAAACTAATGACCGTATTATTTATACTGTGTTTGGTACTGAACTGGATAATCTTAACATGAACATTCTCAGCCACCAGCCACCATCTCTTTCTTAACCTTGAATATTCTAAGCCATCAGCCACCCCCTCTCTCTCCTCTCTCTTTCTCTCCCCGCACCGCCGCATTCTTCGACCCCTCACATTTCCATATCCAGTCAAAAAGAGCAACATGTTAGCATCAAACCTGCCAAAGAGCCCCTTCTTCCCCACCCGCTATGTCCCAGTCTCCCCTCCTTCCACATCACCAGCAGCGTCTCGCAGCTGCAATCAGCGGCGGAAGCAGTGAACGGCAGCGGTAGAGAAGAGGGAGGGAGATCTGGTAGCCAGAAGAAGATGCAGGGAGAGAAGAGTCTTGTTCTGGATGGTTGGATGAAACCTGGTGGTGGTGGTGGTTGGTGGCCGGCAGAGGAATTGGGTTTTGGGATTTGTGGGAATAAGGGGGAAGAACAAAGGAAGGGGAAATGAAGAAGAAGATGCTCGGTGTCACAAACCTCCCCCTCCCTAAAGTTGCAATGCTCACTATCACAGACCTCCCCCTTTTTCTCTGCACCTTAGCATCTCTTCTTCTCTGCACCTCATTGCATATCAATGTCGGCGAGATGAGGTGACGGCTATAGGAGATGACCGGGAGAACGACAATGACGAGAGGGACAACGGCGAGAGAAGGCGTCGTGGATAACGAAGTGCGAGAGAGAAGAAAGGGAACCGGACTAATAATCCCCTCCATTTGGAAGGGTTTATTAAGAAGGTGTATACCCGACTATCCTGTCTAACTACTTAAATTAATCCGGCGACTATTTAGTACGAAAGGACACCAAACGGCTGGGTCCGTACTATTAGTCCTATCTGATCCCTTATACAGCGTGCCAAACGAGTTCTTACTTTCTAACACGCACTGAACGGTCAAAAAGAATCAAGATCCAGAATTTGGCTATCAACTACAAAAGTAAACTACTTCATTCTCGTTCAGAGCGATTAGAAAAAGCTAACTTCCCGATAGAACAACCCCACCCTGTCCCCCCATCTCCGAAATTTTATTTAAAGTTTTACATCCGATGTGGGGCGCTAGGCTCTAGGGATTGTTTACATGCGTATAAGAGCTAGAGATAACTTGTATATATATGTTATCAGTAAAGAAAGTAACCCAACGTTGCCACTCGCACTTGGCAATGCATATGTAATTTGGTTGTGGTAATTCTGCTTATTGTCTCTTTACTAGTTAATTGCGCTAAGCCTAGATTCATTTATTTTTTTTTATTTATTTTTTTTCTTCAACACTCATTTTTGAGAGCGAGAAAACTAATCATAGTCCAATTCAGAGAAAAGTTATTTGTTTAGTATGAACTGGATCATAGTATCGAAATTCTTGGTTGTTAGATCCTTATTTGCACATTTTACCGTTCATTCAATTGGTCCATATTAAGTGGCTTTATATCCTAGAGTATTTGCAGAGGTAATCTATAAGGAGTATTTTGACAATAACCTCTATCCATACCCCATGACTTAGATATATGGTGCTAATGATTTTGATAATTTGGTGTGAGCTCATGGCATGGAGTGCTTATGTTGCCTTCATCTTAAACACTTGGATACCCCAATATGTGTGGTTTTATTGCAAAAGATTTTGTACTCAGTAGTAGAAACAGTTAGTACTAAGTTAGTTATTGCAATTTAGTAAGTCCTATTTCCGACGTGTAATTTTAAATTCTTCAACATTTACGAGGTGGTTCAGACTTGTTGTCAAGGGTTTAGAGACCTTAATCTTAACCTAAAAAGTTTATTTAACTTTTTAAATACAATTGATACTATATATATCAAAAAAAATTGATCGCTGACTACATGTGTAGAGATGAATGCTCTTATTTAATCTTATTATATGATTATGTGTAGGTTGAGAGGTGTATTACTGCTTGCTTGATAAACATTTCATTTTTAAGTTTTAATTTTCACGTTTTTTGCTTCAAATACGAGAAAGGAGAGTTGAAGAAGGATGATTGGAGGGAGGAGAACAAAGAATGAATGAGAATAAAATCTTAAAAGTAAAAATAATTTAAAATAGTTTTTGCTTTTTTGTTTTCATTTTTTGTACCTTTTACGTTTTTCACAATCATTCTTCCACTTTTCCATATTCCTCTTATATTTTCAATTGAGATCAAGATATTAAAAAGAAAAACATAAAAATAATAACTAAAAACAGTATGGTGGTAAATTACACAAAACTACCTCAATTATGGGTCGAACCACAATATCATACCTCATGTTTTGAACATTGCAATTTCATACCTCAACTTATGGATTCGTTGCAATGTCAGACTTCCGTTAAAGTTTGTGTCAATTTGATTGTTAAATAATGACGTGGCAGAAGTGGGGCCCACTCATTCCCTAGCTAAAATAAAAAATTAATTAAATAAAATGAATTTAACAATTAAAATGAATTAAAAAAAGAGTAGTGCTATTGATATCATGTTTTTATACCACATTTCTATACCACCTTAGATGACATCTGATGTTGACAGCTACATCATTTGAATTAATCAGATTTTCAAATGATGTAACTGTCCATATCAAATACCACCTAAAATGATATGAAAATGTGGTACAAAAACAAAGTATGAATAGCGTTACTCTTAATAATAATAATAATAATAATAATAATAATCTCTTCCTCAAACATTTTCCAATTCCCCAAGTCTGCTCCACTACCTTCTCATCCCCCCATTACCAACTGCATTCCCAAAGACCTGAACCGTCCACCCATCTATCCTTCTTAGTTGTCCTCATCGTTCTTCTCCTCAACCACCTCTTCCTCTCCCCACCTCTGCTCTTGACTTCCTCTTCAACTCATTCTCCAACATCACCAATGCCACCGACCTCACTCTCATCAATGACGCCTGACTTTACGCCGCCATTCGCCTCACAAATAACACCAACCAGTTCGCCGTCAGTTGCGTCTTCTACCCAACAAAAATTCCCATAAAACCCACCTCCAACTTCACCTCCGTCGCCTCCTTCACCACCTCATTCATCTTCTCCGTCCTCTCGAAAATTACATCAATCCCGAGATTCGGCCTCTGCTTCGTCCTCTCCAACTCCACCTCGCTTCCCAACGCCTTCACCAGCCAATACTTTGGCCTCTTCACCAATGCCACCGTCCATTCGTGGTAAGTTCCAGTTGCTCCAAGGGGAACAAGTTTCAGGAAAGAGAAAAGTTGCAGAGAAAAGGAAAATTGCAGAGAAAGATAAGTTCTATTTCATAACTCAAATGAGGTTGCAACGGACTAGTATATCCCCACATCATCCACTACAGACAAAAGACTTAGGTAACCCAAGTGCTGAGTCACCGCATTCTTATATTCCACTACGAGGCAGGTAAATTAACCAATGCATGAGTTAAATGAGTGCAGGGTCCTAACATGGCACCCCCTAGAGAACAAGCTTGTCATCAGGCTTCAAAATCTGGAAAACGGCTCAAGATAGAGTCAGCGTCCTCCCACGTGGCGTCATGCTCCGGCCGGCCTGCCCACTTAATAAGCCAGCGAGTGACCGCTATGTTGGCACGTTTGATCATGCCACGTTGCAGGATGTGTTCCGGAAACCACATAAAAGAGCCATCAGAAGAGACCTGTGGGAGAGTTGCAGAGGTAATTGTGTGAGCACCAACCTGGGGCTTCAGCAGAGAGACGTGAAAGGTGGGATGAATGCGTGACTGAGGGGGAAGCGCCAAGGTGTAAGTGACTAGTCCAACTCTGGCGACCACTTGGAAGGGACCGTAGTAGTGAAGAGCCAGTATTGGGCAATGAGTTTTGGAAACGGATGTCTGCCGATAAGGATGGAGTTTGAGGAAGACCCAATCACCTATCTGAAAGATACGCTCCGACTGATGCTTATCAGCCTGTTGACGCATCCTCTGCTGCGCTATCAGCATATTCTCTCGAAGTTGCTTGAGTAAAGTGTCACGGTCGATAAGGGTGAGATCAACCAAGTGAACGGCCGAAGAGCCGGGAAGGTAAGACGTCACAGAGGGTGGAGGGTAACCGTAAACTGCCTGGAAATATGACATCTTGATGGAGGACTGAAAAGTAGTATTATACCACCATTCGGCCCATGGAAGCCAGCGTATCCAAGTACTCAGCTTGTCCATGACAAAGCTTCTGAGCTAGTGTTCCAATGTGCGGTTGAGAACATCTGTTTGACCATCCGATTGTGGATGATAGGCTGAATTTTTACAAAGCACTGTCTGTTGATGTTTGAAGAAGGCAGTCCAAAACTCACTTATGAAAATTGGATCCCGGTCACTCACAATGGACGCTGGCATCCCGTGCAACCGAAAGACTTCCTAGATGAAGATATCGGCAATTTGAGGGGCTGTATACGGGTGCTTTTTAGGTATAAAGTGGCCATATTTGGAGAGATGATCCACTACGACCAAGATAGCATTCCAGCTGTGGGCTACGGGTAGACCTTCGACAAAGTCCATGGCAATATCTGTCCACACTTGGGTGGGAATGGAAAGGGGCTGTAATGATCTCGGGGGTTTGATTGTCTCATAATGGGTGCGTTGGCACACATCACAAGCTACCACGAATTGCTTGACATCCTTTTTTAGGCCCGGCCAGTTGAAGTTGTGGGTGAGGCGCTTGTGAGTGCGCAAAAAACCAGAGTGACCCAAAGACGAGAAGGCGTGGAACTCCTTAAGAAAGTGGGAACGCCATAGAGACGTGGAAGGGACAAAAATTCTTGCTTTGTAATATAGAAGATCGCCTTGGAGCTGAAATGAGCGATGACTGGTTGAGTCCTTATGCAATGTTGTGAGAATGGCCGAGGCTTGAGGGTCCGTGGCACAGGCTACTTGTATCTCGGTCACATAATCAAACATTGGCTGAGAGAGACCCATTAAGGAGAGTAATTCAAGACGACAGGACAAGGCGTCGGCAGCGGCATTGGAAGCCCTGGAACGGTACTCCAAAGTATAGTTGTACCCGAGAAGCTTCAGTAACCACTTATGTTGTGCTGGAGTAGTAATGCGCTGGTCCAAGAAATATTTTAATGTCTGATGATCCGTGAGGATTTTGAAATGATGGCCAATCAAGTATGGACGCCACTTTTAGACCGCAAAGACGACCGCAAGCATTTCCTTATCATACACCGAGAGAGATTGGTGTTTGGGAGCAAGGGGCTTACTGAGGAACTCGATCGGGTGGTTGTCTTGGGATAACACAACGCCAATACCAACATTGGAGGCGTCACACTCAATAGTGAAAGACTTGGAAAAGTCGGGCAGCGCCAAGACTGGGGTGGTAAACAGCGCACCTTTGAGAGCAGAGAAAGCAGTGTCTGCGTCCTGGGACCAAAGAAAGTTATCTTTTTTTAGTAAGTCGGTGAGTGGTTTGGCAATAAAACCAAAATGTCGAACAAATCGACGGTAATATCCAGCGAGACCCAAAAAGCCGCGAAGGGCCCGGACACTAGTGGGTGTCGACTAGTCCACAATGGCAACAATTTTGGAAGGATCGACCGTGACGCCTGCGGTTGAAATGATATGACCCAAGTAAGCAATGGAGTCCTGACCAAATAGGCATTCAGACAACTTCAAATGAAGGTGATACGCCTGTAGGATGTCAAAGACCGCAGCCAAATAGGTAACATGTTGATCCAATGAAGCACTGAAAACCAGAATGTCGTCAAAAAACACCAAGACGGATTTCCGGAGCAGTGGTTTCAAGAGGGAATTCATCAGAGCTTGAAACGTTGTTGGGGCATTGGTCAGGCCAAATGGCATGATCGTGAATTCATAATGACCCTCATGAGTGCGGAACGCCGTCTTGTGTATGTCCGCTTCATGCATGCGGATTTGGTGGTAGCCCGAGCGAAGGTCCAGCTTCAAAAAAAACATAGCCCTCTGCAATTCAGCCAATAGTTCATCAATAATGAGCACTGGAAAGCAATCATTGATGGTTACAGAATTGACTTCGCTGTAGTCCACACAAAAACGCCATGAGGAGTCTCCCTTGGCCACCAACAATGCATGTGAAGAAAAGGGGCTCAGGCTAAGGCGAATAATGCCCATGGCAAGCATCTCGTCAACTTGGCGCTCGAGTTCAGCCTTCTGGGCATGCCTATAACGATATGGCCAGACATTAATCGGACCCGTGCCAGGAAGAAGGGGAATCTGATGGTCAATGGCACAGTTTGGAGGCAAGGTTGTTAGTGGTAGAAATAGGGCATGATATTTGAGGATAAGAGTTTGAATGCAAGCCGACGTTGGTGTAGGGATTAGAGAAGATGAGGTGAGACTGGAGAGTTATGCAACCACTCGGAAAAAGTCTTGAGGGGAATGGACGACAGTCCCGGACACAGGAAAACCGACTGTGGGTGAGGTGGAAGAGCCCACCAAACGATAGTTTATCCCATGCATCGAGAATTCCATGATCCGGAGGAGAAAATTCCACCCAATAAAGCCCAAAGTCTCCAACTAGTCGATTCCTAAGACCATGTCACAGCCCACAACGGCGAGGAGATGGAAGTCATTAATAAAGTATACCCCTAAAGGCACACAGGCACCTGGTGCGCCACGCCCTTTGTATGAAAACAGCGGCCCGTTGCCACCATTACGGCTTCTGTGCGAGAGGGATCCACGTGCAACCCCAAACGAGCCACCATGTGTGGGTTAAGAAAGCTTTGGTCTGCCATAGAATCGATAAACACCTGGAGTGGTTTTTTGTGAATGAAACCCTCCAAACGCATAGCTTGACCACGGGCATGCTTAGCGACGGATATGGCATTGAAGGCAATCAGATGTTCAGGGTGTTCAACCACGGTCGGGGGTGGGGGAACAGTATCATCTAGTTCTGGGACAAGATCCGTGGCATCATCTTCCGCCAGGAGAAGTAGGATATGTGATTGTCAGCAACGATGACCCGGATGATATTGCTCATCACAGTTAAAACAGAGGCCTTGTTCACGACAGGTGCGCATTTCAGCTTGGGTGAGCCGAAGGATCGGCTTAGGTGTTGTGGGTGTTGTGGGTTGGGGTGTGGAATGGGATGGGATGGGAGAGGGTCGGGAAGGAATGGTGGTGGGGAATGGGTTGGTGGGAGAGGAAGAAATAGGTTTGGGGGTATAGGTGGGGACACGGGAAAACCTGGAGCGCACCGTGGTTCGACACCCCTGTTTGTGCTCGTAGATCCGAGCTAGTTCGATGGCACGTGCAAGCGATGAAGGTGCCTGGTGATGCGAAAATTATCTTAACACACAAATTTAACCCTCTTTTGACAATTGTAGTACAAGTATAAGTAGAGATCGTTCTGGACCGGGGTTTAGGAGGGCTTGCTAAAAACCTCTAAACTGACTCAAAAACATAAAACTAAACTAAAAAAAATACTTAACAAGACTCACAAGACTCAAAGCAAACTTAAAATACTCAAAACAGCTTAAAACAAATAAATAAACTTAAACTAGACACTATGAATGACTTTGGACGAAAATTGACTTTTACTTGAATCAAAACACTTAAAAACACAAACTAAAACAGATTTGAAACACTTTGAAACAAGAAACTAAAAGGGGGGTTTTGATTTGGATGAAGTTGAAACAAACAAACAAGTATGAAAAACTAGACAGATTGTAAAACGAATGTGAGAAATAAGATGATGGATGGGATAGCTAGAGGCTTTTTCTCCACACATGACATGTATGCAAACAATTCGATTTCCAGTTACTACTTCATTGAATTATGAACGACAATGCTCCAAATTAACTGTGACATCACTAGTTAACTCTCAGATTTTCCTTGTTTTATTGGATTGGATGACATCATTCGACAACCCAAAACATTCTTCTAAAGTTCCCTACATGACATCATAATAAAGATACAATCAAAGATCATTACGTTTAATGAACATCATAAGCATTGACAAAGTACTTGCAACTATGACATCATGTCACTCATGCTAGGAATTGAACTTAACGCGATCGTTTATAAGCGACCTTCACTACATGTGAATATAAGTTTGTAACGATTATGTGAAACTTCCTTATATTCTAGCAACGGATTTATACATGCCAATTAAGTGTCGACCCTTAATTAACAAATACAAATAAGTTATCAATCAAATAGTTAAGCCAATTGCATTCACGATTCAAGAGTTCATAACTGGAATTTATCAAATTATATTGCATACATAATCATGGCTTTGAAATCAGCCCTAGCCAAAAGGGGTTTAGTCACTCATATTTACAACAAAACGAAAGGAAATGAATTTAAACATTAGAAACAAAAGAAAGAAAACACATAAACGCTCCAACGATCCAAGTTGGACAGCAAGCATGTCTAAGCACTTTCCTTCCCTTTCTTTGCTACGGCACAAGGTGTTGGTGAGTGTTTGAAAGTTTGTTTGTATAGAGGAATGGATGTGAAGATGAATGGATGTGTTTGGATGAAGGTTGTGTTAAAATGAGAGTGAATGATCTAACCAAGTATGAACCCATTTATGTTACACACACTTCCTTTTATAGAGGAAGTGCAAGGCAATGGAGGGGGACATGGAGTGTGTGTGTAATGATTCAAATGAGTGGACAAGAATATTGTGCACCAAGGCAAGGAAGTGGAAGGATAAGTGAGTAAGTGGTGCATCAACTTTGTCAAGGAAGTGGAAGGAAAAGTGAGTAACTGCACATCAGCTTTGTCAAGGAATTGGAAGGAAAAGTGAGGGATGGTGCAGAAATTTGATGGTTATGCACGGCAAAGGAAGGTGTTGTGGAATGGTGAGTGAGTGGTGCATCAACTTTGTCAAGGAAGTGGAAGGAAAAGTGAGGGATGGTGCAGAAATTTGATGGTTATGCACGGCAAAGGAAGGTGTGGTGGAATGGTGCATGAAATAATGAAGAGGACAATGGTGATGCATGGCATTGGTGGAAAGGTGAGTAAGTGGTGCATCAACTTTGTCAAGGAAGTGGAAGGAAGAGTGAGGGATGGTGCAGAAATTGGATGGTTATGCACGGCAAAGGAAGGTGTGGTGGAATGATTAATTTAGGTTAGGGAATTAAATCCAAAACTTAGAGAAAATAGGAGTTAAAACCAAAATCCCAAGGGAATAAGGACATAAGGTGCGGCTATGCCCTAATTCTAAAAGGGAATGGGTTTTCTTGTGTTGCAAGGGATAGGAAAATGAAGGGAAAGGTGTGGCAACCTCCTAGAACAAAGACATAGGTATCCTAAAAATGTTTAGGACTCCTTCTTTGTAGCTGAAATTCTTATGCACTAAGATTAGGAAACTTTGATTTGGTCAATCCATCTTCTTCCTCTCTTTGGCAGGTTCCAAACTTCTTTAAGTCTTCAATTTCGTCCATCTATATTGCTCCAAACATAAGTTATTCAATTCATGCCCAAGATTGCTCCAAAAGGCTCCAAAATGCACCTTTGTGCATAGTTTGTCCTTAGAACCTGAAATTGCACGAAAATGACTTTAAACACTAAAATAACTAAGGAATAACAACATAAGAGCATGAGAACAAGCTAACTCAGTCACATAAATATGCTCTTATCACCTGGGCAACCACATCATCTTGAAGTTCATCCTTGAGACCCCCTAAGAATGCTTCTAAGAGTTGAGCGTTGGTCCAATCAGGTGTGCGGCATGAGAGCCGGATAAAATGCCCCACGTAAGCCTTAACCATGGTTGTCTGTTGGATGTGAGAGAAAGCCATGTTGAAATTCAAGGAGTTAGATGGTCCAAACCAGTGAAGCAACTGGGTGGTGAAGGTGGACCACGAGGTGAAGGGATATCTCAGTTTCAACCAACGGAGCCAGTAGGCAACGGAGCCAGTGGGCAACTTCGCCGCCGAGATGGAGGCCCGCTATGGTGACACGGGGGTGGTTGTCAACCTCGTGGTACTCCAAAAATACTTCCACCATAGCGATCCAGCCATAAGGGTAGTCCCCAAAGAAGTGAGGAAATTCAATCTTGAGATGTCGAGGTCCAGAAACGGTGGGGGAAAAAGGTAAGTTGGGTGTAAATCCGTACGGCTCTAGAGTTAAGTGAGGAAGGAGCAGGCCACTGGAGGAAGGGGGAAGATATTTGGAGGTTGAATGGCGACTAAGAGAGGGGTGTGGGTCAGGAAAGAGCAGGGTGAAAAGAATGAAAGATGGACTCGCGGCTAAATGGGATCCGGGTAGGTAGGTGTTGGTGATCGGTTAGGAGGGAGAGAAACCCCATTAGGGTGTTGGTATAGGAGTAGTAATGGAGGAAAAAGGGGTGGACCCGAGGGAAATGGGGATGGAGCCAATGGGTATTTGGGTGCTGGGTTGGGTGTGGGGTGGCTGCCTGAGGGAACGGACTTCATCAAGGATGGTTTGTTGAACTTGGTCTTGGCGGAGGTGGTGGACGGACAAATCTGCTATGGAGTGCTGGAGGTCTGCAATGTGATGTTGGATGTCTTCATAGCGGCTGTTCACCATCGACAAGGATTCTTGAAATTCCTGGAGTTGCTGGTGCTGAAGCTCACGATCCCACTCAGCCGCCGTCATGTCGGCGACCATAACTGAGGCCTTGCTCTTGCCCATTGATGCACACCTGGGCTCTGGATACCAAATGGTAGGTTCCAGTCGCTCCAAGGGGAACAAGTTTCAGGAAAAAGAAAAGTTGCAGAGAAAAGGAAAATTGCGGAGAAAGATAAGTTCTATTTCATAACTCAAATGAGGTTACAATGGACTAGTATATCCCCACATCATCCACTACAGACAAACGACTTAGGTAACCCAAGTGCCGAATCACCACATTCCTATATTCCACTACGAGGCAGGTAAATTAACCAAGGCAAGAGTAAATTAGTGCAGGGTCCTAACACTTCGTCGCCCCATTGCTCGCCGGCGAGTTCAACACGGGTCGTAACCCAAAATTTAACCACCCAAATGGGAATCACATTAGAACCGACGACGTCGATTGAGCTGCTGGCGGAGGCCTGGCAGATATCAAAAAGGCCATCAAATACAAGGTAGTCCTCGCCGACATTGAAACGCCTAAGGTGACGGGAGTGGACGGAATCGGTGAGGGTCTCGAGGGGTTTTTTTTGAAAAAATTGAGGAACTGGAAAATTTTGGGGAATGGAAAAATTTGAGGAAGAAATATTTTTTTTAATTCATTTTAATTGTTAAATAAAAATTTAATTTTTAATTTTAGTTGAGGAATAAGTGGACCCCACTTCTCCCACATCATCATTTAACAACCAAATTGACAGAAAATTTAACGGAGGCCTAACATTGCAACGAATTCATAAGTAGAGGAATGAAATTGCAATGTTTAAAACATGAAGTATGAGATTGTTGTTCGACCCATAGTTGAGGTAGTTTTGTGTAATTTACCCTTTTTTTTAACAAACGATATCATTTACACGAATGCGAGGGGGTAAGCTTAACCTCATAATGTACTAGCAATAATGTGGTTTATATTTATCTTTAACAAAAATCGAATATAAAACCTTTCAAATGAAGATGATTACCACTAGACCATAGTAATAAGTGACTATTAAACAGACTTCTATAGTATGCAAGTGAGACCAAACCCAAAATGCAAGGTACTCTTGACTTCGAAACAAAGAAAGCACGAGCGAGAGAATCTAATCCCTAACAAAACAATAGGAAAAGTTTGGTCGAACAAGAAGTAGGGGTGGGCAGGGGCCGGGCCGGGCTAAAAATTGAAGGAACCGGACCGAAACAATTTGTAAATAACACGGGGCGGGTTTTGGATTTTTCAAAATAGGATTCGGACTTGACCCAGCCCTTTTGAAACGGGCCGGTTCCTATGGGTCCCCATGGGTCCTAAGGTACGGCAGCAACGACCATGATGTCCTCTCCTGCCTCAAGTTCTTCGATTGGGTCGACCGCCAGCCCAACTTCCACCACACCCACGCCACCTTTAACGCCATCTTCAAGATCCTTTCCGAGGCCAAACTCATGTATTTCAAATCTGCTTCTTCTTTTGCTCAAATTCAATTTAATTCAACAGAAGTTTCAAACTCAGTCGATTCAAATTCAATTCAATAAAAGATTTGAAATTGGAACATAACAGAGGTCAAGGTTCAAGAACCCAAAAAAATCCCTATATCTAGAAACCTAATTTAATTTTCAATCCCAAATCCCTAAAACGTAATACCTTAGAACTGAAGAGGACTATGAGTCAGGAGGAGAGATCAACGTCTTCACAAGCCACAACAACACTCCAATAAGAGACAAAGCAACTCACTCTTGGTCTCCATCTCCACCTTCTTGTCAAACATGAAATGTCATGTGGCCAAGCCAAAGGCAGTTCTGCACCGCCTTTCGAACTCCATATACGAAATACAAAATTCTCTTCCACAGATAGAAATTCCTCTCCACAAAAAACACTATGATCCTAATCCCCCAACCCAAAACCAATCTCCCGCAAATCAAAACCAAAATCAAGACCTGCCACTTCCACTATATCAATTTCCACAAGTTTTCTACCCCAGAACTGGAATCGCCAGCATGCAAACCAAAACCGGCACTCTGCAGCTTCTGATGATGAAATGAGAGATCGAGGAGGAGAGATTGAGGTATGAGTGAAATGAGAGGAGTTGGGAGGAGTCGGGAGGAGTCGGGAGGAGATATCGAGAAGACTGGGATGAGCAAAAAATTTCAACTCTATTATTTCATGCTAGAAACGGGTCGGGCCGGGGGCCTGAACCACCCTACCTCGTTTTGTGTTTAGAAATTTTGGACCCGCCCCGAACCTGAATTACCCACCCCTACCTGTGGTTCCTATACCCATTTTCCCACCCATACCAAGAAGCTTTCTATTTTGGAGTCAATTCTAAAATAAACAAATGCAACTGTATGTAAATTATGACTCTCCTTGTATTAATTATTAAAGAGAGTACAATATATACAGTTATAACAATCTCTACTGTGAAAAGAATCATATACTAATAATAATTTGATAATTATAGAAAAGATTTTGGAGATAAAGATTCTATTCTAACATCGTCTCAAGTCGTTCCAATGTCTCTAATCTCTAATAAAAATGTTGTTGTAATAATAAAAAATAAAAAAAGTTCGCATTGCCAAGATCTTGAAAGCAACCTTTCGACAAACCAAAATAAGAGGACCCAAAGGATGATGATTGCCAGCAACTTGCAACATCAAATGAATTATGAGTGCAAAGTCTAATTCCACCAGTAATTTATTAATCCATAATCTTCATGCCAATTGTAAATCCAAATAAAGTTCTCATAGCTCAGCAGTGAGAATCTCGCCTGTGCCCAAATTTGGCACAAAACCCAAAAATTCATTTACCATAAAAATATCTTAAAACACCACTTACAAGAAATTATTATTTCCGCTCTTGCAACCATCAACATTAAGCTTAAACAAATACGAAGAAGCTTACAAATGGGGCAAATATTCGATTCTATGGGGTTATCAATCTTGTGAGTATTAAACTTCAACCATTCACAAAGATTTTGTAGCAAATAGTTTAACGACCTACAGTCTTAATTTAGATTTACACAACTTTTTACTTTGATAATTCTCCTTTACGTTCATTTAGTTTTGTTCATGAGGATCAACATGTGATGTTCTAGTCTAGATTTATTATTGAATAATTTTGTTTGGGTTATTAGCATTTAACCCAGTTTTTCAACCAAAACAGAAACAAAACAAAAAACAAAAAAGTTGATTGTGAGACAAGAGAATGAGTCAAGTCAAGCACACAAAAGACCCATACTCTCACGGCCTTAGGGCCTTCACGCAGCAGGTAGGGTGTGTCGATGAAGGGATGACTCAAGCACTAAGACATGTTATATCTAAAAGGCTAAATCGCCAAAATGGTTCCTGAGATTTGCATAACTCATCACTTTGGTCCCTAAGATTCCAAATTGATAAAAGTGGTCCCTGAGATTGTCCACCATCCATCATTTTGGTTCTTCCGTTAAAAACTCCGTTTAAGTGTCCCGGAGGAAGTTTGGGCAATTTTCAAAGCTTCGTAACTCAATCATTTCTTAACCAAAGTCGACCCATAATATATCAAAATGAAGATAGGAAAGTGTAGAATAAGATTATACCTATTTAGAATCCCAATGGTTGCCGGAGATGACCGGAAAATAGCCTCAAAGTTGACTGGTCCGAGTGAAAACTTGGAAAGTCGCCCGAAACTGAATAAACCTTAAACATTCATAACTTCTTCAATACTCAACGAAATCAAGTGATTCAGAAATGAAAATCATACTTCTCGATGAGAAGAAGAGAATGGTAGCTTTTTTTTAATGCCTAACTCGCCATGTTTTGGCCGGAAAACGGCTTAAAGTGGCTGTCTTGGTCTCAAGTTAGCCACTTTCGAGCTGTTTTTCGGCCAAACCACGGCGAGTTAGCCATCGAAAAAGGTACCATTCTCTTCGTCTCATCAAGAAGTATGGTTTTTGTTTTTGAATAACTTGATTTCGTTGAGTATTGAAGAAGTTATGAACGTTTAAAGTTTACCCAATTTCCGGCGAGTTTTCAAGTTTTCACTTGGACCAGTCAACTTTGAGGCTATTTTCCGGCCATCTCCGGCAACCATTGGGCTTCGAAATAGGTATAATCTTATTCTACACTTTCCTATCTTCATTTTGATATATTATGGGTCGAATTTGGTTAAGAAATGATTGAGTTACGAAGCTTTGAAAATTGCCCAAACTTCCTTCGGGACACTTAACGAAGTTTTTAACGGAATGATCAAAATGATGGATGGTGAACAATCTCAGGGACCACTTTTATCAATTTGGAATCTCAGGGACCAAAGTGATAAGTTATGCAAATCTCATGAACTATTTTGACGATTTAGCCTATCTAAAATAGTAGTGCTATTCACACCTTTTTTTACCTTACACACATTTGTTATTCTTACTTTCTTCGATTCATTTGATTCGCCGACTTTTCTCCGACTTCGGTCACAAAGCTAAAGGTTTTCTCTCTAATTCTTGTCCAGATTTCTGTGTTTTTCGTTTCTTGCATCGCAAAAAGCCTGTTCGAGGATTCTCCTACAACTTACCTCTCTTGGGTTCCGGCAGACTTGCTTACAGTGGGATATTCCAAGGGCCAGAGGTTCAGTTTCTCATCCCACATTGATGGCGGAGTGGTATGTTCTTCTTATATTGGCACCCCCTCTAAAACCTTGGACAGAAAGTTGAGAGTATTTTCGGGTTTGTATTCAGAACCTTACATGTTCAACCTCCGCGAAGATTGGAGGACGATCAAGTGCAGCTGTTGCAGGATCGTACACATACAAGAATGCCACCTTCAACTGCCGAATTGATACGGATTCAAAAGTGGGTTTGGTTCTTTTATGTAGTTTTACTGTTCCCTATTAAGTTTGAGCTCTGCTGTTTTTGGTTCGGATCAAGCGTTTCTTTATGTCCCCCTTGTTATGACAGGTTACTGGAACATTAGGTACGAAGTTTCCGTCATGCACAAAGACTTCAGCTTCATTCAGCTTGCCGGAGTACAAGTCTAGCAAGGTACTGGTCTCATTGTCTGACAATCTTTTTGTTTGGAAATACTCCTTGAACTGGTGTTCTTGTTACGAAATCTGCCATAGAAAAAATAACAACAAAATAAAAGAAATTTCTGTTGCCGAAATTGCTCACCCTTTCGATGCTGCATGCTGATCACATCTAATTCAAACTATAAATCAACTCACTCGTCTTGGTTTCACAGCTCCGGTTTCAAACACGCCAAGAATATGGTGCCGCAGCTGTGTCTGTTTCTCTGTGCCAGTCCCCTGCAATCAACCTTTCAGCAACCGTCGGTAGTGCAAGCTTTGTCATCGGTATGGAGGCAGAATACAAGACCGCTTCCAGCACTTTCTCCAAATGTAATGCAGGCATTAGCATGAAGAGTCTCAATTCTGATGCTTCAATAATTCTGTAAGTCTTTTCATTTCAATCTACAAACCCTATAACTATGAAGGCGGATAAAGCGTCTGATTAAAAATAAATTTATCAACAAATTTTGTAGAGGCCAAAATGCAGATTTGAGTTTCTAATATGCTATCTTTGTGATATGTTTAGGGGAAACAAGGGTGGCTTGGTAACAGCATCGTACGTTCATTATCTTGATCAAGAAAAGAAGAATGCAGCAGTGGTGGAGTTCACTCAGAACCTCTCAACAAAGAGAAGCACCTTGACAGTTGGAGGATCGTGCATGGTTGATCATCAAACAGTGGTGAAAGCTAGACTCGATGGTAGCGGAGATGTTAAGACTCTCCTGCAGTACAGTATTAGACCCAAGTCGCGCTTGTCTATCTCCGGCGAGTTCAACACCAAGGCACTTGACAGGATTCCTAAAATTGGACTGGCACTTTCTCTTGCCCCTTAAACAATTTCGCAATATTCATATGCAACTGATGCAATTATTAGATAGATGTTTCTACTGATATAAGTTTTTCTAGATCTGTATGATTCTATCAGTTTAGAAAGCTGCCGGTTCAACAGATCTAGTGCTAGTGTTTCAAAGCAATCTGCATCTGAAATTCGAAATCATTTCAGCGACAACCGAAGGATTTTACTTATATGATCTAGTTGCACACTGGCTGGGAATTCCCAAAAAATAAATCTTGACACACTTACAAATCAACTCCAAACTAGTATTGCATCTCCCACTGATTTTATCTAATGGCTTGGAACTTCTTGTTCCCGTCTACTCAGTAGTTTATGGAGCAGCATCCACTTTTTGTTTTTCGCTCTATCCAGTTTAACCTGCGCCATAGAAGTTCTCCGTCGCTTGAGAGCAGACTTGAACGCAGAGGGATGTTCAGCAAAAGCATGAAAATCTTCCGCTTGAGAGCAGACTTGAACGCAGAGGGATGTTCAATAAAATCGATGTGTATGGAGAACATTTCTATTTCAGTATTACAGCCATCACATTCAGCAGTCTGCAAATGTATTAGTAACAACAGGTTGTGCGGTCCAATGGTCACTTTGGAGATTTGAACCTGGTGCACCATTTGATCAGTAGCGCTTCAACACTGGCATCCGTTCGGGTCCCGATTCCTCCCCAGACCAGCATATGGGCGAAGTCTCCAAATGTCGAACCAGTTACTTCATGTACAGCCTTGAATCCGATTCTTGAATAGAACCGCACAAGCTGAACAAAAAAATTAGACGCTTCACCATTTTGCTATTTGTGTTATGAGAGTATAAAACAGAACCTTTTACAAACAAACCGTCAATAAGAAATAGAGCTTCTTCACTACGTCAACTGTAAACAGAAAATAAAAAGACGAACCTTGTGGTGGTAAATATCGGAGTCATTGATAGCCAGCAGCTCAGCCGTTCCGCAACCGCAATCGTATCCATACCGAACGGCAACAGCTCCAAGAAACAAACCGATCCCAAATATCGACTTCTCCATCCCCAGAGTCTCTCTCTTGAGTCTGATGGACTCCAAGTGAAGGATCCTCCCTTTCAGCCAGACCCTTATGAACCCCTCGGCCTTTCCGAGCTCTTTCTTCGTCCCCAAGCTTCTGGCCGTGATTCTGAAAAAGGGTCCCACAGTTTGGAGCTGCAGGTCCAGCTTCTGGGATTTTGATGAGTCCAGTATCTCAGCCATGGTTGGCATTGTGGGTCCGGTGCCGGCCTCTCTACTTTTCTTGGTAAGGGTAGTGGGGGTGAGTAATGAAGAAACAATTCGGGTTCTGGTTCGGATTAAAACGCTTATGGTGCGGCGAAAATGAACAGTTGGATTTGGCATGGAGAGGTTGGAAGTTGAAATCATTGATATGGATGATAGTTCCATATTTTTCTGATTTAATTTTTGGGATTAGGGTTTTGGGGTTTTCTTTTACAGAAATGTTTGTGAAGTGATTCAGAAGCATGAAGAATTGGATTCTTTCAGTTTCATATCTCAAAGCTTGGAGACACTGGCTACCGTGATGGAGTTTGGTTTTAGATAAGCTACACGTGGCTACACCACCACCATCATGTGTCCTATGCTGATAATATTTTTTTTTAAGAAAATTAATGAAAATGACTTGAAAACTTTGAGTTTTAATGATAAGGACAAAATAAAGGGTAAAATAAATAGTACCAGGATTGACTTTTTAGTGTAAAAATGTGGTTTTTCGTTAAAATAAACAGTATCGAGAGCTTTTCGTTAAAATTCCTTCTTTTTTGTATAGTTATTCATATGAAGGGGAAGAAGAGGGAATATTCCACCTTATTTACTGGAATATTAGACCACATGCAGCAAAAGTCTTTATAATCTTAGTTCAAGGAGAGAGTTTAATGAAGTTTCTTGACGGATTTGCAATGGACTAGTAATAATGTAGTTCAAATTTGCAATGGACTGCACTAAGGGAGTGTGATGGTTGGCTAAGCTCACGATGAGAATGGAAGTAACGTGCAAAGTTCTGTAGGAAGCCTGTGGATTTACAAATAAGGAACACAAGGAACTTTTCTTGACGGATCCATTTAGAACCCAAATCTTTACAAATTGCACATTCTGTGATTGTATTCACATAAATAGTCTGGTGGGTACCGGGCTCGAAACTTTCTCATCTCTTAAATTATCGTAATAGTTTCGAACATGTTCCCCTCTTCTTAATTAATCTACATAATAGTCTGATATTTACCAAATAAATGAAATACAGGGACATGTACAGATATACAGACAATAACAAATAAAGTATAATCCTAGAAGTTCTGGTTGCTCCTAACGAAAAATGAATCGATAGGTATATGTTTGCCTTCTTTCTGGGACAGCTTCGGCCTTTTGTTTTTCCTTTGGCTTGTACGATGATCCTTCTCGACATTTCTGACATGGTTTCTAACCAAAAATATCAGGTAAAACTAACTTATCAAGAGAAGAAAAAAGGGATTACGGAGAGAGGCAAGTTAGAAACTCAACGTATAAGGTCGTTGTCGATAAAATAAAATAAATTATTTCGATGGCAAGCATAGACAAGATCTATGGACGAAAACAAACTTTTTACTAGATTAAAGATGCAAACCATGTTCTCTTGTAATCAGGCGAGTGCGGATTATCAGTAACAATGTCAACCGCTTAACATCATACTTCAACTCAAAATTGTACATTTAGAGAAGATTCGTAGCTGATGGGTATGAGAAAATAGCAGCAAATGAAAGTGTAACATACCTCTGCCTCAGCATACATGTTGAGTCAGCGCCAGATTCTTCTTTCTGAAGTTTCTCAGCAAGATGAAAATCAAAGTGCTCTTGCCTTTCCTCAACGAAGCTAGCTGGCACTTCTATCCCACATATCGAACACTTGTAGTCATTCAACCACAAAAGTAACTCTTTCTGACTGACCGAACAACTTGCAACGTCCTCACGGTTGTTAGTTACATTATTCACTCTGTCTAGGGTACTGCCCTCAAACTGCCCAGAAAAAGAATGACCTGCTGCCAACAATGGTGACACTCCACCCTGTACGTTGTCCTCATTCTGTATGTCCACACACACCGTTTCTGCATTTACACTGCTCGTAGATTCATAAACTTCTTCCTTTTCATCAAAATTTCCCAAAGTAAACTTACTGTCGTCCAAATTTACTAAGTGGTTTCCATCAAGAGAATCTCGAGAAGTTTGATGGCCATCTTCAAATAAACAGGGTTCTTCACCATGCATCATGCAGCAACCATTAGTATCCATTTCCAAGGAGCTCTGATTCCCCACATTTTTCCTTAAAACATTTCCTGATAAAATATAATCCGTGAGAGTTCTTTGTGTGGGATCAGATGGAGCACCAACCCTTTCTTCATCAAAGTGAGACACCCGCAAGCCTGACAACAGATGAAAATAGATTTAACCCTAAGCAACCTGAGCTGCAAGATTGAGCTTTAATATCATTCCCCTTCTGAAATATATATTTATACGCATATACATATACATCTGGCAATGCTGTCGTACATGAAATCCAGTATCATGTCTATTAATAGAATATCACCATATTCATAATATATTGGTAACATGTTTTACAAATTGTATTAAGACTATTGATCAGGTAAATTCATGTTTAAATGTAATGACGGACAATCCGACATCAAGTTGTCTGATTACTGATCATCTTTATGTCTGTCATTATAGTGGATATGGACCATTGAGATGCACCGTGGATGAGTAAAGATGCATCATTACTATTTGTACTTGCATGCTTGATATAATGTACATCTCAAACTATCAATCATATTTACAATTACATCTCAATCTGACATCAAGTATACTATTTAATATTTATACTTGCATGCTTGTATATAATGTGCAACAGCCTACCTATCAGCCTCAAAGAAATAGGAAGTTCAGCCTTAAGCAACTTTGAAGCATGCTTCAAAATATCCTCAGTTGAGCATATATATTTTTGCGAAGTCACAGCTCTGGTGCGAACCTGTAGATTGTAGAACATACTTAAAACTTTACAGCAAGAAAATACTGATCACAGCTAAAAACAAAAAAAGAATTGATGGGAGAATTAAGAGTCATATACAAGGGGAGTCATGCATCACAAATAGCCCTACTGATGGTAATGCATGAACGATCTTACTTTGGCAAGGCAAAAGAATTGGTGATAAAGCATCAGAAGAAATACCTCAAACGATGCTGTCTTTAGTTTTAGAGTCAATGTTCGCCCACAAAGACCCTCCTTTTGCAAATCAGTAGATAGCATCTCTGCAATATCCGCTGCAAGCATTAAATATACCCAAGTTACTAAATCTAAATGGTGATGAGTCATGACTTTCAGTTAATTCTTGAGTAATAGAACTACATACCCAATTTACGATAAATATATGCTTCATCCCCTGTGGCTGAAAATGATCTCTCATTACTTATACTTTTTCTCAATCTTGCTTCAGGAGTATCTGTTCCCCCAATGGCAAGTCCCACTGAGAGGAAAAAATCTACAATACATGATCGGAGAAGCGGATGTTGAACAGAAACAGGTGGTGTCTCCAATCATATGATATGCATGGGAATGGACAGAGTGCTAACCTGCTGCAGATCGAGAAAATAGCGCACAAATTAAACTGCTCTTTTGCAGAATCTCCTCACATGTACTAATCCCAAGAGCATCCTTCAATATATGCTCAGTTACTTTACCAATGCCCCCAATCTGTATAAGAGTTTTCAATTCCATATCTTCATTAGTATGTGAAATGTAATTAATGAGCACATAAAAGTTTGCTATTATGTGAACCATAGTTGTACCAACAAAGACAATAATGGTACAGTTTATTCTGCAACAAATGTACAAAAGGTGGATATACCTTTCGGACAGGAAGAGAGGATATAAATGTCATGACAGCCACCCGATTATTTGGTAAAACAAACTGTCCATTTGGCTTGTTTATATCTGAGAAAACCTGAGGAATAAGATCAGGAGACTCAATTCAATTGTGTGCATACACAGGCCTAAGCATTTGAGATGTTCTGAAGAAATCATCTAAATCCAGTATTGGTCATAATATCTAAACTCTAAAGCCTAAAACATAAAACCTATACATAAAAAGCTAAAAAAAGGCTTGAGAAAAAGAGAAGTTACAAAAGCAAATGTGAAGATGCGATATCATATATCAAGGCAACTAATAGTTAGATGTGCTTACTTGTTTGCCAGTTGGCAGTAGCATGCGTCTATTTGCAAACCTTAGTTACCATTAGCTAACTAAAAAAGCAGAAAGTTCATCTTTTTATCAAGCTTACATGTATACAGTGAATTATTTATTTTGACATCTTATCATCAACTAGACAACATGTGAAACATCCATATTTATTTTACAACGAAAGTGAATCGAAGCACAATACCATATTGCAAACACTTGAATTCGTATCGATGTAACATATTTCATTCAATGAGTTGTTGGAAAAACCTTAGCAAGTAGACGGTTTGGTGCCACTCCAGCACTGCATGTAAGACCAGTCACTTCATAAACACCAGCTCTGAGTTCTTTGGCAATCTTTATGGAGGAAAAGTAACAGAAAATGAGGTTTAACATAAAAACTTCAAAAGCGAAAGGGTAATGTCAATTCCAAACAAAGAATAAAAAATGTACATGTACACTTACTTCTTCACCAGTAGTGCCCCTTTCTTTGCAAACCTCAGTTACATCAAGATATGCTTCGTCCAAACTAGCAGCGAGGAAGTTAGGATCATACTTCTGATATACTACCAAAAAAAAAATAAGTCACGACCTAAAGTTAGGACCTGGCATAAAAAACCTACAATAAGAATCTACCTAAAGAAACAACAGCTAACCTTTTCTAGTTAAACTACTGTAATGATTATACTTCTCGAAATCCGTAGGCACAAAAATTAAGTCGGGACATAATTTACGAGCAATGAAACCAGGCATCGCAGCACGAACCCCAAACTTCCTTGCCTGCAGGGTGGCAGTGATCACATTATCAATATGCATTCACAAGGTAAATGCAGGACAAATAAATTTGTAATATGCAATTCCACTGCAACCGAAATTGCGACACTTGTAATGTGGAGTTACTTTCACCTCATAATTAGCAGTGGAGATCATAGACATGCCACCAACAGCCATGGGCTTCCCCTTCAACGACGGGTTGCTCAAAGTCTCGACAGCCGCATAGAAAGCATCCATATCCACATGTACCCAAATCCTCGAAAGGTCCCGCGTCGCTTCAAGCTCCAAAATTCTTTTATCAGCAACCTAGAAACCACAAAACAACCACCATTCCAATAAATCTCACAGAAATCCCCAAAAAAAAAGTATCACACAATTGAATTGGAAACACTAAAACGCACCGTTTGGAAGTGATCCAGGTCTGCTGGTTTGAGCTTCGCGCATCGGGCTCGCATGTTCTCTATCTTCTCCCTGATGAAGGCCTCTTTGCGTTCCTCGTTTTGGAAGTACTGCGATCCTTTGCTCATTT